TTTAATTTCCCCATCACCTTGGTTACAACATGAGGTCCACTAGGCTCCCTCTGAGACCTCCCTGTCCCTGGGGTGGGCTGGGCGGGAGCTGAAAGGTAGCTTTTAACAGGCTTTTATCCTTTTCCCCAGTTAACAAAGAACGGGTAAGGGAGCACTGATCTCTCTTCTCTGCCTTTGCTTCCAGACCTTGTGAGAAGTCCTGAATGTGTGTAGTGAGAGCTCTTAGTGCCTTTTCGGGGGAAGGTGGTACATTCATCTTCCACCTGGGTCTCTTTTATTTAGAATAGGAGCCTCTCATCACAGGACATCTTTTGAAAAATGTTACCAAAATCCTCCCCCTTTCTGCACTGCTTGACTTCCTTCACTGCTGATGTTTCCACTTACAGGCAACCGTGCTGCTGGATTCTGGTTCCTGCTTGTGCTGGTGATGAGCCTTGGCACACTGTTGGGGTTCTCCAGGAGCTGGGTCTTTGTCCCTGTGATTCCCCCCATTGCATTGCTGAAGGTGGTCAGCATCCCCGGCCCCAGTGGCTCTGGCTTCAAGCCCCAACTTCTGTCCTGAGGAGTGGGAGGGTTTGGGGAATGGTTTGAAGGCAAGAGGTGACAGCAGCTTTCCAGGGCCTGGCTGCTCATCACAGGTGGCTGGATGTGCAGTGGACCCCAGCCATAGTCCACTCAGGATCACCGCCAAGGTGATACTGAGACCATATTGTCAGGCATTGTTGTTGGATGTAAGCTTTTCAAGGGCTGGAAGGCCTCAGGGCAGCATAGACTGCTGTCTTCCTCACTGTTGTGATGAAGCAGCAACTCAAAGACAGGGATTTGTGGCACAGTTCAGCATTGATACCCCTTGTTGAGTACAGCTGAGCTGTCTGCCAGGCGGCCCCGCTGCAGAGCACCATGCCTCAGGCAGAGCTGTGCTGCACTGGCCTCCTGCCTTTGCACCATTTGTCTAGCTTGGCTCTCCGTCCTGTTTCCTTTTCCCTGGGTTACTGCCACAAAGAGGGGTGTTTGGGTGTAATTTGCACCAAAATAGACAGCACTATTAATATCGCTGGGGTGGAAAACAGAAGTGTGTCATGCTGGCTGTAAACAGCCAGCTTAGAGACAAGAAGCAGCCTTGAGTAGCACATCCCATGGTGCATGCATGGCCTGTTTACGGTGTCTGAAGAATGCGGCACTGTTGTTAGCCCAACACCGTGACCAGCCCAGGGAGTTTTTCAGTAGCTAACTCACTGCGGCCAAAATGGAAAGGCTTATTCCTCCTGCTCTGGACCAGGCAGAGCACAAGAAAGAGGAGACTAAACCAAGCTAAGCACCATTGGGTCTGTTGTTGCTGCTTTGATGGCGTGCACTTGTTCTCCTTATTAAAAGCATCATATTTGCAGTAATTGGTAAAAAGGAGGGTCATGGGAGACATATTTTGTGCTTTTGTCTTGCTCCCTTTCCTGGCAGGTATTTATTCTACTTTATTTCTCTTGAAAATCTGGCAGGAGTGAAGCACATGAAATCTATGTGTTAAAAGCCAATAATTCCCTAACAGGAAATACGCTTTGTATTAGAGGATTCATTCTCTCTTGCCAAATAAAACAAGAAAATATTTTCTTCTTGATGCGACTTGAGTTTCCAACCTCAAGCATGCCAAACGAGTGGGGAGTTGTTGAATTTGCTCTGAAACTGCAGGGCTAATGCATAAGCTGGGCATCTTTCAGCCCCTTCCTGGCAAGGCATTTCTCGCAGCAGTGATGGATGGGAGAGAGCAGAAGCAAGGCACTGTGTGGCCATCAAAGTTTCATTCCCTGGCTTTGGTCTCTTCCTGTTTTTTTTCCAGGTTCTCTGATATCAGATACCAAAAGGTATTGGGGTGCTCAAATGTGTCTCTGTTCCATGAGAGTTGAACACCTCAACATTTGTGAGAGTTTAAGCCTTGATTTCTCTGCGTCTCTCTTCTCTGTCTGTCAAATGTTTTGTTCTCTTGAGGGGACAGCTAACAGCATGCTCAGGCTATGGGCAGGCAGCAAAGGCATGCAGCGTTTTGCCAGCAGCTCGAGTGAAAAGAAATGGGATGCTGAGATGGAACTTGGGCAATAGGGGTCTGTGCTCCATAGGTCTCTCCCAAATGCTGGTTTGCAGCAGAGCAGCTTGAAGTTACATACCTGCACACTGCCTTGAGTGCTGCAGAGTGCCCTGGGACTGCAGCAGCAACCCTTCAGCCTTTAACCTGTACTGGTGGGGATAAAGGTGGCATTGTATTGCACTGCACGTTCCTATTTGCGTTGTAACTTTGCATGCTCCTGCTTGTTAGTTGTGTCAAGATAACTCGGTTATGGGAAGGAATAAGATAATCTGTTATGGGAGGAAATCTCTTTATTTTGAAGCCAGTAAATTATTTTAGAAACATTTACATACTGCAAATGTAGTCTTCTCCCTGTGAAACTGATGTTTAAGGCCTTAGAGTTTTTGCCAAGTTGGCTCATCTGGGATAGCAGATGTTTCTACTCTTCCTGTCTTGCCCCAAGCTGCAGCAGTGTTGCTGGCGGCTCAGAGCTGGGACTTGTCTGTTGTGCTGCGGTAAGGAAACCCCCTTGCAGAGCGTGCCTCCTCCCCACGTCCTCACCCACTGCCCCAAGGAAGGGCCACTGCACGTGTCCTGTGTGGGGTGGACGCTTTGCTCCACAGGGTACCGCCACATGTTTCCCAGGCAGCATCTGCCTGTGTCCTCAGTGCCACCTTCTGCGCTTTGCCAACGGTGGCAGCTCTGCCACGTGCCTCATACCTTGTAAAACAAATGGTGGATCAAAATGGGCTTGTGG